TGGCTCTGGGCTAAAGCACCCACCCTGCTAGCACAGGGCATAGCTCGAGTCCTTGGTGCCACCACATGTACCAAACAGGATTTCTGTCCCTCTGCTGACTGTGGCCCCTGACTCCACACATGATTTCTTGTCCTTATTTATTTTTTTAAATTAAATAACTGTGATTTACAAAGTGATTGATAGTCGAGTTTTAGATATACAATAATTCAACACCAATCCCTCCACCAGTGTACCCAGATTCTTCCCCACTCCATCCCTGGCTTGTCAACCTGACAGGCACATTGCAAAGTTCCAGTGGTTGCAGCTTAGATCTCATATTTTTAGTGTTGTTGAGTCTGTGTTTTGGGTATATGGCTACACCACTCTCCCATATCACCGGTATAGCTGAAGCCCTAATGTCTATTTGCCCATTACTTCCAGTTCTCTTCTTCCCCCCCACCCTTGATTTTTTTCCTATGTCCTTCTCTCTAAACACTGGGGTCAAGGGTGATCTAGATATCCTCTCTTTACTACATTTCCTCATTCAATATTTTAGATACCACAGATAAGTAAGATCATCTCGAGTTTGTCTTTCTTCTTTGGACTTACTTCATTCAACCTGTTATCTTCCAGTTCCAACTATGTCGCAGCAAGTTGAATGGTTTCATCATTCCTTGCAGCTGCATAGTATTGCATTCTGCACATGATTTCTAACCACATCACAGTCAGAAGTATCTGAGCACCCCAACTAAAGAGGTGTGAGCCCTAGAGAACACAGTCTCTCCAGTGAACATCTCAGCCAGGAGGGATAAGCTTTGGCAAACAGATGTGAGTACTAGCCCCCAAACGTGTAAGTGCATCTGACTCAGGAGTGCAAGTAAACATATGTGCGAGCATCACAACTAAAGCAGTACAACCCTCTCGGCCAGATGTGTGGGGCTCCTACCAACCTACTGTGACACCCAGGGGCACCCGAGCCCCTGTGTGCGACTCCATCATTGCAAAGCCACCATAATGAAGGGACAAGCAATAGTGGAAAGGAATAGGCTGTGTTTAAAAATTGGAAAAAATGAGAAAATGAATGAGGGCTGGACAGGATTTAAGTTTGGGAAACACAGAACTGTAGAATTAGACTAAACTTGAACTTGGTTTAGAAAGCCTCCTGGAACCTGGTTCTACCTAATACTGCAGCTTCACTTCCTATCACTCCCCTACTCAAATGTAAGGTTCTAACAACTCAGTGCTTTCCATGGTTTCCTTGAGCTGTCTTCTCCTATATCAATGCTACTAAAATAATAAGCATTGAGTGACAATGGGCTGGAGAGGTAGCACAGTGGTAGGGCGTTTGCCTTGCCTGCAGCCAGCCTGGCAGAGCCAGGTTTGATTCCTCTGCCCCTCTCAGAGAGCCTGGCAAGCTACTGAGAGTATCTCACTCGCACAGCAAAGCCTGGCAAGCTCCCCGTGACGTATCCGATATGCCAAACACAGTAACAATGAGTCTCACGATGGAGACGTTACTGGGCCCACTCGAGCAAATCGATGAACAATGGGAGGACAGTGACAGTGTAACAGTGGGTAGCAATGTGGTCCAGTGGTCAAGTGTCTGCCTTGCAAGTAAGAGATCCTGGGTTCAATCCCCAACACCACAAAGAAATCATGATTTCTTGATAAATCATAGGGATTTTCATCCTTTTAAAATGACAATGAAGTATTTCTTGCTCAAATGAATAAAAGGATATGGCTTGTCGGCCATCTCCAATGGTAAGAGGTGGCCGGGAGACCCCTCCCCCCGCAGTGCTGAGGAGGAAAAAGGGGTGTCAGGACAGAGAGGGGAGGAAGCAGGTTCCTATAAAAACCAGACCAGAGGCTAGCCAGGATGGATCTGTCCTGCTAAACAGGCCAGGTGGTCACTGCTGGCCATTCCAAAAGCTTCTCAAGTGCCTCTGAGCAGAAGAAGAGATAAGTAAGGTGTCCAGGTGGGTGACAATATATTTTTTTGCCATGAACATGAGTCCAGGAATATTGGAAAAATCTCTGTAGGGACAGAGAGAGAGAGCTCTGAGGGTAGAGAGCGTGGCTTGCATGTGGAAATCCTAGGTTTGATCCGTGGCACCACAGTGAGAGTTGTTCTTGTTTCTTCCCCTGCTTCTTCTTTGCGCATTTGACTCTAAAACCAACTAAAAGAGAGTTTGTCTAAGCTAGATGATCCTTGGCCTTGCCTGTCCTAGCAAGGAAGAAGGAGGAAGGAAGGAAGGAAAGAAGGAAGCAAGCAAGCAAGGAAGGATTTCTCTGTTTGAATGTATCAAACACTTTGGCACTGCACTCATTGGAAGACACCCTACATCCATAGCCTCATTTAAAGCCCCTACCCTCCCAAACACTGAGATGAGGAAACTGAGGCCAAGAGAGGCAGATGTAGTTTGGTCTTAGCCCTCTCTCACTGCAGTACACCCATGCAGTTGCCAAGTTTGTTTTTTTTTTAAGTCATACACTTCCAGCCAAGAATTAGCCTTCCCTAACAGAAATATCTTGAACAGAAATAATTGTGGAATACAACAGGCTCAACTCTCTCTGGTTGATGACTCTGGAAAGCCAGGCCACACTAAGATCGGCTTTTCCCATGAGCATCTATCTGATGAGACCTGTAGCCAGTGAGGCATGCTGGGATGTTTTGCAAGGACTTCCTGGGACAGCTTTGGAGCCACGGATGCAAATCAATCCCAACACTCGAAGGGCAAGCTCCAAGTACTCCATAAGCTGCACAGGTCACAGGTCATATAAGTGAGAGCTGGTCAGACACAACATTAGTCAGTGACTCAGAGACTGAAGTTTATTGGTGCAATCTCTCCATTTTTTTAAATGTTAACAACTAATTGCTTTAAAACACAAGTGGGGAAATAGTACAGTGGGTGAGGCATTTGCCTTGCATATAGCCGACCCAGGTTCAATCTCTGGCGTCCCATATGATCCCCTGAGCACCACCAGGAGTGACTTCTGAGTTCAGAGCCAGAAGTAAGCCCTGGGCACAGTCATGTGTGGGCAAAAATCAAAACAAAACAAAACAAACAAATAAACACACACTAGCAGGGGCTGGAGAGACAGTACAGCAGATAAGGCCCTTGCTTTGCACGTGACTGATCAGGACTCAGTTCCTGTACCACACATGGTTGCCCGGCACAGTCAGGCATGAACCCGATCACAGCGCCAGGAACAACCCTTGAGCACTGCTGGTTATATTCCAAACTCCCACCCCCCTGCCCACCAAAACAAACAAACTAACTAACTAATTAACAAAACCCCAACACTCACAAAAGCACTAGCAGGTCAAGAACAATTACAGAGGGAGAGGTCCTGATTTTATGAAACATCTTCTAGTACAAACAGCATGAGAATCACTCTCCCTCTCTACCCTCCCAGTCACTGCTCCATTAAGCAGATTTGGGTCCACATTGCTTTTGACAACCTCCAAAGGGCAAAAGATAAGACTTGGCACCAACAGCCTTGGTCCAGAGACGCAGCAACCAGTTTCAGATGGCATGACAGCACCGGAGATCCCTCTGGGCCCCATACCGAGCTAATTTCACCAGGGCACCCCAGATGGAGCAGGTGTTGTCTCCCCGCCTACTCCAGATGGAACCCGGCATCCAAGAGCTTCCGCAAGTAAGGCCCAGGTATGCGGGTACCAGGACTAAATCTCCAGGCTACATGGTGGCAGAGTGCTGGGCGGTCCTTCTCCAGCTCTCTGCTCCGTGGCCTAGCTGTCATACCCACCAGCTTCCGCCAACACCATCTTGATGCACCAACAGCCCTAGTCCAGAGACTCCCAATTGAATCCCAAAGTAGATTAGTGCCCTATAGAGATGTCTCTGGAACCCAACCATCTACAACCTAGGATCCCAGAAGCACATGTCCGCAAACTCTCATGATATTCAAAATGAGCAATGGAAAATAAATTATCTAGCATCTGCCCCTGGCAGGTAGGCTTGAATAGTGATGGGAAAATTCAGGCAAAACATAATGCCCAAAAGTAAAGAGAGAGAGTATTGGGGAAATTGTCTGTCTGCCATAGAGACAGGGTAAGGACTGGGATGAGGGCGGGGGGTTACTGAGGACATTGGTGGTGGGAAGTGGAGGATGGGTGTTCAATCATTGTATGGCTGAATCTCGAACATGAAAGCTTTGTAACTGTATCTCATGATGATTCAATAAAATTCAGAAGGAGAAGAAGAAGAAGAGGAGGAGGAGGAGGAGGAGAAGGAGAGGAGGAGGAGGAGGAGAGAAGGAGGAGGAGGAGGAGGAGAAGAAAAGAAGAAGAAGAGGAGGAGGAGAGGAAGAGGAGGAGGAGGAGGAGGAGGAGGAGGAGGAGAAGAAGAAGAAGAAGAAGAAGAAGAAGAAGAAGAAGAAGAAGAAGAAGAAGAAGAAGAAGAAGAAGAAGAAGAAGAAGAAACTTGTCAGATCATGTCTGAAATCACCAAATCTGAAGGAGATCATAAGAAAGTAGAGTCCAGGGAACAGAGGAACAGTCCACGGGCTTAGGCTCTCAGCTTGCATGTGGGCAGTGCTGAAGCCATCTCCCGGATTGCCAGGAATAAGCCCTGAGCACTGCTGGGAGAGAGCCCCAAGCAACCTCCCCCCAAAAGGAAAGGAGAGTCCCGATTTGGAGTGGGAGGGAGTGTGGCAGGATGATGGGGGTTCAGTGTCACTTGCAGCAGTGACATGTCTGAGACTTTCTACCATGTATGTGTTCTCTGCCAGGTGACTCTGAAGGAGAAGAGGCCGTTAGCTCTGCTCCCTTGGCCAAATAGGGTTGCTTCCTCTTCAAAGGATTTTCCAGATGACGTCTGGAGACTGAATTCCGGCCCGATTAGGACATAAAGTGAGGGAGTCCTCACCAGCCTTCTCTGGTCACCAGGGGACAGGTCACCTGACACCTGCATTATTCAAAGTCGCTGCTCAAGGTGTGTCCTGCGGGCTTTTAAAGTCAGCATCAGCACTAAATCCCCAGAGAAGAGCCAGCAAGGATGATGGAAGGAGGCTGGCTTCCCGGAGGAGTCCTCCTCTACCTCATTCTGCACCTGCCCCTTCAAGGTAAGCTGGGTCGAGAGCAGCAAAGCGGCCGCACGAGGTCTGGGAAACAAACCAGGCTCATTCTTGTGATTCCTGGACACTCATTGACTGGCTGTTGCTGTTGCTAAAATTGGGAACTGATGACAAGGGCGGCTGCCCGCCTCCTCCTGGGACTCAAAGTCAATTGGCTCTTGACTATCACAACTGCTCCGTGGCCTGCTTCGGCAAGCCTTTTTCCGTCCCCAGGGACTTCTCCTTTCAGGAATCTGATCTTTCTCTGGACTTGATGAGTATCAGTTGTTTCTTTCTCCTCCTCGGAAGCAAACAAACAGGGAAGAGGCACAAAGGCAGGAGATAGTGGGAAAGATCTCTAGCCAAAGAGATGTATGTTTTCCCCAGGTCAGAGTAGTTCCCGCTTTCAGAGCAAGGGTGGCTCGTACAGCCTCTGAGGTAGACACAAACAGACCCTCCAGGAACATGCTCCCTTCCCAATATTTTATTTCTGTTCCACAAAGAGCAACAAGAAAGGAGTTAGGGCAAAGATGGGCATCAAGGAACTCTCCATGGCAGTTTTGGGATGTCAACTACTGAGCTTCCTTATTTGTGGGGCTTTTGTTTTGGTTGTGGTTGGACCATAGCCACCAGAGCTCAGGGGATACTCCTGACTCTGTACTTATGAGTGACTTCTGATGGTGCTCAGAGAACCATATGTGGTGCTGAGAATCAAGCCAGAGTCAGTTGCAAGCAAGCCAAACATCCCTCTACCACTCCAGTCAATAACCACTGGGCGGGGGGGGGTTGAAGGATGGTGGGGGGTCGGGGACTGGGTGCTGTTCAGGGACTATTCCTGGTTCTTTGCTCAGAATTCACTCCAGTTAGTGCTTGGAGGACCACACAGTGTCAGGGATGGGACCAGAGACATCTAAATGCAAGGCAAGTGTCTCATCCCCTGTACTAACTCTCCAGCCCATTACTGAGTTTTAAAAGACAATAACCACTAGGCCAGAGAAATAGCACGAGGGCCTTGCTGGCAAAAGATCAGTCCTGGTTTGATACCTGGCACCAATTATGAACTGTGAGCACTGCCGGGAGTGATCCTTGAGTACAGAACCAGGAGTCATCCCTGAGCACAGCCGGGTGTCACCCTAAATGGAAAGCAAAAGAAAACAAAAATATTGACAACTGCAAAAAATGAAAAAGAAAAAGAAAACACAACAATCACAACACCAGAGAGGTAGGAGAGACTCATGAAAATGATAAAATGGGAAAAATGAGCTCCTTCCTTCAGACCCGCCTCCCGGAGCATCTGCCCCGGGAGGGATCCCGGGGCCTCGTCCATGGACTAAGGACAAGAACTGCAATGACACTCATCACTGGCCCACTCCAGGGAACACTAGGGCATAGATGAGCCACGCAAGAGCAGGGCTGGGAGGCAGGAGGGTTGCAGGGAGGGTGCAGAATGCAGTAGGGCACTGCCATGTAGTGGTCAGGGCCAGGTTTGCATGCCTGTTTGTCGTTTTTGCATGGGGTCAGAAACAAAGAATTGAGGATGGAGCCTGGCCTCGATGCCCCTCCTCTCCATCCAGCCTCTATCATTTACCTATCGGCCTGGATCCCATATCTGGGCAGGAGAACCCCCCACCCCCCCTCACAGGGCCTCTGCGCTCTACAGGACGAGGCGACACTTTCACCATTAACTGCTCGGGCTTTGACCAGCATGGGGTGGACCCCGCAGCCTTCCAGCCGGTGTTCGACAGGAAGGCCTTCCGTCCTGCCCTCAACCACAGTGTCCCCACAATGGTCAACATTTCCTTCACCCTGTCCGCCATCCTTAAAGTGGTGAGTCCCGCCCAGCACAGTAGCTGTCTGGAGCAGCGAGTGCTCCACTGGATTGTATCAAACTAAGAGCTTATGCTGGCAGGGCTGGAGAGATAGATAGCACAGTGGGTAGGGAGTTTGCCTTGCACGCAGCTGACCCGGGTTCGATTCCCAGCATCCCATAGGGTCCCCCGAGCATCGCCAAGAGTAATTCCTGAGTGCATGAGCCAGAAATAACCCCTGAGCATCGCTGGGTGTGACTCCCCCACAAAAAATTAAAAAAGCTCATGCTAGTCATGCTAGGAGACAGAGAAATAGTAGAGCAGGCAGGGCACTTGGGTGGCATGTGGCAGACCCCAGGTTCGATCCCTGACTGATCCCTGAGCAGAGAGTCAGGAGTAAACCCTGAGCACAGCCAGGTGTGGCCCAAAGATCAAAAGAAAAACAAAAGAGAGGGCTCATTCTAGGAGCGGGGAGATGATGCTTCAATCACTGGGAGTAAAATCCCTTAGGAATATTCCACAAAGACTTTGAGCTTTCTTATTGTTGGCTTATTTTCTTGGAGGGGGGGTTGGGGGGCTGGAGGGTGAGTTTAGGGAATAACCCAGCAGTGCTCAGGGACTATTCCTGGCTCTGCATTTGGGAGTTGCTCCCACTGGTGTTTGGGGGAGCATATTCAGTGCTCAGGATCGAATCTGAGTCAGCACATGCACCGCAAGTACTATAACCCTAATAATATCTCTTTGGCCCTTTGTTTACATTTTTCATATATTTTACATGATTTGACCTACTTTTTCTAATTAAAGTGCTTTCTAACAATTTCCAACTATGATTAAAAATTCTAAAGGGCCAAAGAGATGGTACAGTGGTAGGGTGCTTGCCATGCATGCAAGTGGCCCGTTTCCTATCCCCAGCACCACATATGGTCCCCTGAGCCCTGTCAGGAGTGATTCCTGAGCACAGAGAAAGGAATAGGTTCTGAGCACTATTAATAGGCACCAAAAAATAGCCTTAGAAATGAATAAGAGGTGGTAATATTGGACCCAACTTTATGGAGTTAATGATCTATAAAAATTGTTTTTCCAGGATGCCCAGCTTCAACTGATGACATCATTCCTGTGGTTAAACATGGTATGAGAAACTCAGTTTCCCTTTAACAAGGGCAGCTTCCTTTTCCCGATGCTGGGCCCAACTTAGCAGCCGCAAAGGTTAAAGTTAAGCATACTCTGCCCGCACCAGACCAACAACAGAAGCGCAGAGCTGGAGCCGGAGCCATAGTACCGCAGGGAGAGCATTTGCTTTGCATGTGGCGACTGAGGCTCAATCTCCAGCACCCCAAATGGTCCCCCCAGCACCGCCAGGAGTAATTTCTGAGCACAGAGCCAGGAGTAACCCCTGACATTTCTGGATGTGACCCCGCCACCCCTGAAAAAAAAACAAAAACAAAGAAAGAAACACAAAGCTTTCTGGTTGGTCAGGCAGAGATGAGGCAAGAGGCGGAAGAGGAAGCCAAGTTATGGAAGCCGATACTTATGTGACTCAATCCCAGGGAACCGGGGCCAAGTCGGGGCTCCCCCTTTTAATGCACTGAGGGGATGTGAAAGCAAGCCGGGCTTTGTCAGTGCTTTGTGAGCGCTGTCACCAGAGAGGAGGTGGAGGAGCAAAGAAGTGTGTGTGTACTGGGGCAAGGTGGGGAGGAGTATAAGGGTCAGAAGACTAACACTAGCTTCCACTGCGTTTGCCCCATGCCATGGTTCCCCTTAGATCTGGGACAATCCATTCATCAGGTGGAAGCCAGAGGACTGTGGGGGCCTCAGGAAGCTCAGCCTGGCAACGGAGAACCTCTGGCTGCCAGATATCTTCATCGAGGAGTTGTGAGTATCAGGGCTGGAAAGGCACAAAGGAAAGGCCGGGGAATGGCAAGAAGGAACCTCTGGGACCACACAGACTTGCCTTAGTGGAGTCTAAGAATGTCTGTCAGCAGGTAGGGTTTTGCACGCAGCAGACTAGGTTGGTCTCCAGAACCACATATGGTCCCCCAAGCATGCCAGGAGTGATCCCTGAGCACAGATTCAGGAGTAAGTCCTGAGCACTTTGGGGTTGTGCCAGAAAGAGAGGAAGGAAAGAAGGAAGGAAGGAAGGAAGGAAGGAAGGAAGGAAGGAAGGAAGGAAGGAAGAAATTGTTGGTACAGCATTAGCCAAAGTCATAGTACAGTGGAGAAGGCACTTGCTTTGTGTGTGGCTGACCCAGGTTTGATCACCAGCATCTTATATGGTCCCCTGAGCCTGCCAGGAGTGATCCCTTGTGCAGAGTCAAGAATTATTCCTGGGGCTGGAGCAATAGCACAGTGGGTAGGGTGTTTGCCTTGCACATGGCCGACCCAGGTTCAATTCCCAGCATCCCATATGGTCTCCCGAGCACCACCAGGAGTAATTCCTGAGTACAGAGCCAGGAGTAACCCTGTGCATCGCCAGGTGTGACCCCCCCCCAAAAAAAGAGTTATCTCTGAGCACAGTAAGTGTACCACCCTCCCCCCCAGAAGAAAGAAGAGTTGTTGTCTGAACCAAAGAGCATACAAGCTTCCTGGACACGGGCTGATGGATACGGGGAGGACTGGAGCAGAGGCACTGTGGAAGGCCACATCTGAGGGAGCCCATACCTCCACCTCCAGCCACCTCCCTGTTCTTCTCACTCACAGCATGGATATAGATCAGACCCCGAACGACCTCCTGGCTTACGTCAACAGTGACGGTCGCATCAAATATGACAAGCCAATGCGGGTGACCAGCATCTGTAACCTGGACATCTTCTACTTCCCCTTTGATGAGCAGAACTGCACCCTCACCTTCAGCTCTTTCATCTACACGGGTGAGCGGGGAGCCTGGTGAGAGCCTGTTGAGAGGCTGAGAAAAGGTTCTGGAAGGGATATTCTCTGAAAGGGGTGTGGAAGCTCAGAGGCAAGTGTCCCACCCTTTGGGAAGCACGAGGGGAGACTGAGTTTGTCTGTGTCTGCTTTGCAGTGGAGCACATGGTCCTGGGCATGGAGAAAGAAGTGCAAGAGATTTCCAGCACATCCCAGAACCTCATCCGGAGCAAGGGAGCATGGGTACTTCTGAGCATCCACCAAAGAGCCGAGAAGATGAATGTGGGCAACCACCAGTACGACCAAATCGTTTTCTATGTGAGCCTCAGAGCCCTGGGTGTGACCTTCAAAGGCCGAGGGCTGGTGTTGACCTGTAAAGCAAGCACTTCCCTAGAAAGTGGGCTCTATGAGGGCAGGGGTGTTCCCTAGTCTTTTCCTATTGGATGGATGGAATGAATCCTCCCCCAGAAGGAAACAAAGCTGCAGGGCAGCAGATGTCTGTGACAGTGCATCTACCCCTACCCCACCCCTATGGATAGCAGAACTCTGGAGGTGCAGGGATCATTCCTTGCGGGGGGGGGGGGGTGCTCCGGGCATCATGTGGGATGCTGGAAGTCAAATTCGAGCCAGCCATGGTCAAAGCAAGTGCCCTGCCCACTGTACTATCTCTCCATCACATTATGCTTCTTTTTAAATAGAAATGGTTAAAATGCTACAAAACACGTCTCACAGATAACACTGCTGAGCCCCCAAAGATTGGTCATTGTCCTGCTTTCCCTTTCATGTGGGTCTTAAAATGTTCATCAGCAAAGTTCCTGGCAGGTTTTCCTCAATGAGGAAAGCAAGCAGAAGTTAAAATACAAAATAGGATCCTACCATTCTGGTTGGTGCAATAGCACAGCAGGTAGGGCATTTTCCTTGCATGCGGCTGACACGGCTGACCCGAGTTCGATTCCTCCGCCCCTCTCGAAGAGCCAGGCAAGCTACCGAGAGTATCTCGCCTGCATGCCAAAGCCTGGCAAGCTCCCCGTGACGTATTCGATATGCCAAACACAGTAACAACGAGTCTCACGATGGAGACGTTACTGGGCCCGCTCGAGCAAATCAATGAACAATGGGAGGACAGTGACAGTGACAGTGACCATTCTGCCAAGAGCACGTGATCAGGAACACATGTATAAGGGGACCAAGTTGAGAACTCAGGCCCGGAAGGCATGAGATACTTCCCGTTGGTAGCAGTGTTGCAGATGAGAGCCTGGAAAAGTGTGAGCAGTGATTTAAGATGACTCTGCTGCAGAGAAAGGAGTGGGAAGGTTATGGGGTCACTGCCCTCCCAAAAGTGACCTAGGAAATGCTCAACTCTTGCTCTTCACTGATGTGACCACTCCAGCTTCCTTCTTGCTTGCTCGTTTCTCTCCTCCCCACCAGGTGGCCATCAGGCGCAGGCCTAGCCTCTATGTTCTCAACCTTCTAGTCCCCAGTGGCTTTCTGGTGGCCATTGACGCCCTCAGCTTCTACCTGCCGGCCGAGAACGAGAACCGGGCGCCCTTCAAGATCACCCTTCTGTTGGGTTACAACGTCTTCCTGCTCTTGATGAACGACTTACTGCCAGACACGGGCACACCCCTCATCAGTATGGTCTTTCACTCCTCTGGGAGAATAAAAATAAGAGAGGTGGGAGAGGGGAGGAGAGACCCAAGGAATCAGACTGAAGTGAAAGAGATCCTTAGCAAGGGGGCCTCAGGGAGGAGGAAACAGGAAGTCTAAGGCAGTGACTCATTCCAGTTCCCACCCACCCGACTCTCACCAGGTGTGTACTTCTCCCTGTGCCTGTCCCTGATGGTCGTCAGCCTGCTGGAGACCATCTTCATCACCTACCTGCTGCATGTGGCCACCACCCAGCCGCCACCCATGCCGCCATGGCTCCACTCTCTGCTCTTCTATTGCATCAGCCCCTGGAAAGGCTGCCCCACTACACACCAGAAGGGAAACAGGGGTCCGGGTCTCCAGCCCTCTCACCTGCCTGGTAAGGAAGATCCTGCCTCTCTTCTAGTACCTCTACTTCTCTGCTCCTGTCCCCCTCCCTGACCTCTCTATCCCTGGGAAACTGGGCACACACGTCTCAGCCTCTGTCTCTGCAGGTGTGAAGGAGCCTGTGGAGTTGGTGGGAAAGGAGGCTGGGCCCAGAGGGGCGGAAGTGAATGGAGGTCCAGAGTCAGCCAATGCCCAGCAGGTAGATGAGGCTCGGAAGAGACATCTGGTCGACCTGTGGGTGCTCTTCAGCCACATGATGGACACCCTGCTCTTCCGCCTCTACCTGCTCTTCATGATCACCTCTGTCATCACAGTCACCATTCTCTGGACCACCTAGGCAGAGGCCATCTGAAAGCCCCAGTCTGGAGCCCCTCTTGCCTCTAGAAACCCACCACGCTCTTTTTCCTATCCAAATCTCAACCTCATTGCTCTGGCAACCATCTAGTTTCCACGTGAGTCCAGATGCTTTTCTATCCCTCCTAGTTAGGTGCCTGCTCCTTGCCTGACCTCAGCTCCTACCACTTTCCCCAAAACCCTACCTGCCTGTGTCCCTTGACTGAATGACCCCACGAAAACCCCTTTGCAGAAAGCACTATACGTCCCTGAATCATATGACAGTATCAAGGACCTTAATATTAAATCTTGCAGAAGTGCTGTAGAAACTTCCAATTACCAAATTAAGGACTTCCTTCCTTCATTCTGTCCTTTCTACCTCCTTTTCTTTCTTTCTTTCTTTCTTTTCTTATAAAAGTCTAACAAATAAGAATATAAAAGTGGAGAGAAAAATAGAGTAGATAACAAAATCTATTATAGGGAATTATACATAAGGATTAACCTCCTAAATCCGGTTATCCTGGATTTAAGCTTCAAAAATTAATGAAGCAGTAATTAGGTATCTCTTGCTGAAAGAGTGAAACCTTTTGTCACCAACTGACGTATGACTCATTCAGGATTAGGCACTCAAGATGCTAACATAGTCCCAAATTACCTTCACCTGGTCTGGTTGCTGTGCAGTTAGAGTTGGTCTGGCCTTCCTTGTGAGAAGAAAAGAAGAGGCCAAAGGGAAAAAGCAAAGCACACTGAAGAATGACGTGTGCTTTTTGACTTAGGGAAAACAAAAATACTCCACCACTGCCCCTCACTCCATATGAATGGGGAATCTCCCTTCCCCAGCACTGGCTTTATTCTTTGCAAATCTTTGCTCACCTCTCCCACCAGCTTCCTGAAACCAGTCGAGCCTGGATGGACTCTCTGGGACAAGAGCTCTTGCATGAATTGTTGGAATCCCCTGGTTTGAGAGCACAGATTTGAGAGCAATTTACTTACAACTCAAATATCATCTTATTTCCAGGAACTCTTTTGTTTCTTGTCCTTTGGTTTATTCTACTACTTCATATCTCATGCTAAAGTACCCCAGGTCATGGAGCTCACTGAATGATATTCCCCCAGCTCCTCATTTCCGCTGCTCTCCCCCACCTCAACCCACCTCCCTCTGGTCCCTGAGGATGCTTAAAAGGAAGACAGATGGCCAAGGTCCCCTGGATGCACTGCCACAAGGGTAGCATGAGGTCTTGCCCCTTCATTCCCCTCAAGAACACCTGCTACTCAGACCTTTGCTAGGCTGCCAGCCACAGACATTCCAGCTGGAGGCTGAGTCCCCAGGGACATTGGTTCCATGCAGTCTCCTGCTGGGACCTGGAAATATTGGGGTGTGAGAGATGAACAAAATATTCCACTCTGCTCAGCCTCTTTCCCACCAGCCCAGCTAGAATATGACACAGCTCTCTTTTTATTCTACTTCTTTTTTTTTTTTGAGAGGAGGGGATGGTTAGTCCACACTGCATGGGATTCAGGGGTGATTTCTAATTCTGTGCTCATAGGTGGTGTCGGGAATTTGAACCAGAGCCATGGTCAAGGCTGGCCACAAAGCCAGTGCTTTACATCCTGTTCCATCTCTCTGGACCCGCTCTTTTTATTCCTTTCTTTGAATTTATATATTTATTCCGAGGAGGCTGTGCCCAAGAAATGCTCAGATGTCATGGGGAGGCAGTAGACTCCCAGTGATTCTTGGCCAACAGGACCAGCGTTTCAATGTGAGGGCCTGCGCTGCTCAGCCCTACAGTTCTCAGGACTACCTGGCCACGCTGGTGTGCTCAGGGGTCTCCAGGGCTACATCCAGAATTGCTCAGGGGTCCGTGTGGTGCTGGGGACTGCACCTGGGTCGACCGCCTGCAAAGTATGAGCCTGATCCCTGTATTATCTCTCCAGTTTTATCCTCTACATAAATTTCTCAGGGAGATCTCCGACTCTCAGCTTCTAGAATCGTGACATACTCACTCCCCTTCAGAAGTCATCAAGTGTAAACACAGTGTGGCTGCGAGACTGGAACCCTGACAACCACCTAAACACATGAATGATTGGGACTGCTCCTCCACTTTCTGCAGCAAATGCACCATGTAGTTCAAACAGGGCACCGCATGTGTTCCATGCCGACCGTGCAGCCCAGACTCACTGCTTTATGCAGATGATCATGTGAAATCCTTACAGCAACCCTGTTAAATAGTCGCTACAGATCCACAAACATTTGGATCATGATACATTTTAGAATGTGCCTTTTTTATCCTATTTGCTCCTGGCAGGGCTCAGGAGACCCTGTGTAGTGCTGGGGATTTAATCCTGGGTTGGCTTTGTGCAAAGCAAGCCCCCTACAGACGGGACCATGGCTCTAGCCCCAAAATTGTATCATTTTCTTGATTTCCCCCCTCATCAAAGAACATGCATTTCTTTGATTAGAACCTTTTCATCTTTTCCCTACACATAACATTAAGTTTTGTTTAAATATGAAACAGGCACTGTTTGGGGGTTTTGTTTGTTCTATATTTGGCACACGGCTTGCATTGATGAACCTTTCCATTAAGGGAGACTTAACAAAATCACAGTGATGCTCTGTCCTCCGAAAGCAAACCCTGTGCCTGTGATGTCACACATAACAGATCACCAAACAGAACCTTTGAAACTAGAGGACTCCCAAAGAATCAATAAACCTCTACGGTTAATTAGATGGTGGCCTTTGGTTTGTCACTAACAGATTTCTGGGATGAACCCAGAATTGATTGCTTCATGAGAATGGCTTTTCTCTGGTTAGGAGGCAAATTCCTGCAAGGCTTTACTAGGTCAGTGATGGACTCTGTTGTGTCCTGATCAAACCAAGACTTCACATGTGCAAGGCTACTGTCCTACCACCGAGCCACTACCGGCCCCACGCCTAACCTTTTCAGGAGAACCAGCTCTGGGACAGGTCCTACCTATCTTTCCTGCTCCCCACCTTGTTTGTTTGTTTTATAGGTAGTGCCACCCTTTGGCTCTTACATTCTTCTTGTTCACTTTCTTCTTCTCTAAACCATTTTATTTCTCCATACTGCAGTTTCACTCTAGGTTTTTGTGAACTTGCCTTTAAAATATATGACTTTTGTGGAGTATAAAATAACATAACACAAGACTGACACCCAAGGACAGTAGAGACAAGGGCCAGGAAGATTGCTCCATAGCTGGAAGCCTGCCTCATGAGCGAGGGGGTCAGGGTGGCAGGGGAGAAGGCAGCTGGAATAGAGAAGGGATCACTAAGAAAATGAAGAATATGATGGTTGGAGAAATCGGTAGGGATGGGAGATACGTGCTGACAGTACATAAAGGAGCAAGCATGATAACCTCTCTGTATTGCAAACCATAATGCCCAAAAGGAGAGAGAGAGAGAGAGAGCATGGGGAATATTGTCTGCCATGCAGGCAGGGAGAGGGCGGGAAAAGGTGGGGGTATACTGGGGACATTGGGGTGTGGAATCTGCACTGGTGGAGGGATGGATGTTTGATCATTGTGTGATTGTAACTCAAACATGAAAGCTTGTAACTGTATTTGATGGTGACTCAATAAAATAGATAAATAGATAAATAAATAAAATATATGACTGGACTGGAGAGAGTTTAAATGCCTAGTGTACACAAGGCCCTGAATTACATCGCTGGCACAGTGTGGCCTCCCTTCCCCAAGCATTGCCAGGTGCGGCACCCCCAGAACCCCTGGCCCCAAACTTGTCAGACCCACACCACCATGATGAATGTCACAGAGCAAGGCCCCCCCATTCCCTGAGCAGCACTGGGGAGTTTCCCCACCCCCAACAAACATCAAAGCAAAATGTGTTAGTTTAGGCAGAGACTATGGCACTAGTGGTAGAGTGCAGCCTTTCCTTGTGTGAGGTCTGGGTTCTACCCCAGGTGCTGCGTGGCACCCCCAGCATCACTGGGTGTACCTGCCACATAGGAAAAATGATTTTTATCTCCATATCATCTTTGCTTCTATTTTCTCTTCCCTGGGGCTCAGCCTAGGATGAGCAGTAGCTGACTTCATTTCAAGCCCGTCCTTTTCTCTCTTTTAACCATCTCTTTGTTGAGCATTCATTAGCGCTGGTCTTTCTACATGATGGGAGGAAATGATTTAGTACAGAGACATTGGGATCCTGGGTCACTGTCACTGTCACTGTCCTCCCATTGTTCATCAATTTGCTCAAGCGGGCCCAGTAATGTCTCCATCGTGAGACATGTTGTTACTGTGTTTGGCATATCGAATACATTACAGGTAACTTGCCAGGCTTTGTCATGCAGGCGAGATACTCTCGGTAACTTGCTGGGCCCTCCAAGAGGGGCAGAGGAATAGAACCCAGCTCAGCTGGGCTGGCTGCGCACAAGGCAAACGCACTACCGCTGTGCTATGGCTCCAGCCCGGGATCCTGGGTACTTATGGGATTCAGTTACTTGTCTGTTGGGGAACCTTGAAAAACTGGCTCACCCTTACAAGTGTCAATGTCTTCTGACAGAAATGGAGCTAGAAGTGCAGCTTAAATTATTTTGGAAATGCTTTTGTGGCATGGGGGGGGGCATTTCTAGTGATACTCAGCAGACTGGGTTGGGGGTTCAGTGCTGGGGCTGATGTGCAGAGCTGCCTGGGCCCTATAGCAATGGGATCAGAGAGGCCACAATACGGCAGTGCCCAGGGAACTCCAGGCCACTCCCGGTGGTACTTATCAGATCACGGGATTACCGGGATTCAGAGCAACGCGGGCAAGTCACATGCCCCTATCTCAGCCCCTGAAGATATGGATTTAAAAGAATCACTTATAAGTAGCTAGAAACAAAAAAGTCAAATTTGAGACACCCAAGAGCTTCTTTTTTAAAAATTTTTATTAGTTAAACACCATGAGGTACAGTTGTAGACTTATGAATTTTTGTGCTTGCGTTTCAGTCATAAAGTGATCGAGTACCAATCCCTCCACCAGTGCCCATTCTCCACCACCAATGATCCCAGTATTCCTCCCACCTCCCAACCCCCCCCATCCCACCCCACCTCTGTGGCAGGGCATTCCCTTTTGTTCTCTCTCTCCTTTTGGGTGCTGTGGTTCGCAAAAGAGGCATTGAGTGGCAATCATGTTCAGTCTATAGTCTACTTTCAGCATGCATCTCTCAACCTGGGAGGATTCTCCCAACACCCTTTACTTGGTGCTCCCTTCTCTATCTGAGCTGCCTTTTCCCCCAGCATGTGCGGCTGATTTCCATGCCATGGAGTGAACCTCCTGATGCTTATCTCGGCTATTCTTGGTTGTTAGTCTCCTACTTTGTTACTTTATATTCCACAGATGAATGTAATCTTTCTATTGCAATCTTTTTCTGACTCATTTCACTTAGCATGATATTTTCCATATAGTACCACTTGTATGTAAATTTCATGACTTCACCTTTTCTAACAGCTGCATAGTATTCCATTGTGTAGATGTACCAAAGTTTCTTTAACCAGTTATCTGTTCTCGGACACTCGGATTTTTTCCAGATTTTGGTTATTGTGAACAGTGCAGCAATGAACATACAAGTGCAGATGTCATTTCGACTATACTTTTTTGCGTCTCCAGGATATATTCCCCAGAGTGGTATTGCTGGGTCAAACGGGAGCTCAATTTCTAATTTTTTTGAGAATTGTCCATACTGTTTTCCAAAGGGGCTGAACCCGTCAGCATTCCCACCAGCAGTGAAGGAGAGTCCCTTTCTCCCCACACCCACATCAATACCAGTTTTGTTCTTTTGGATGTGGGCCCCAGTCTCTGTGGTGTGAGATGATATCTCATTGTTGTTTTGATCTGCATCTCCCTGATGATTAGTGATGTAGAGCATTTTCTCATGTGCCTTTTAGCCATTAGGATTTCTTCTTTGAGAAAGTGTCTGCTCATTTCATCACCCCATTTATTGATGGGGTTGGATTTTCTTCTTGTGGAGTTCAACCAGTGCTTTGTATATCCTTGATATCAACCCCTTATTGGATGGGTATTGAACACCCAAGAACTTCTAATTATCATGCAGACTGAGATATGGAATTTAAAATCAAATTCTAGGTGGGAGGCAATAGACAGAAGAATTATGAAATTTCTGGTTCTACCCCCTCATTTTTTGAATGAGAAATAAAAAGAAAAGACAAGTAGTAAGTATGGGATTGTCATTCTTTGTGGGGGTTGTAAGCATACTTACAGGCAGAGCAGGGAGGGAGTCACCCCAGGCAGTGTTCAGGAGACTATAAATAAATTTTTAAAATAATGAAGGAAAAGTCCCAGTACTAAGGACTGAACCCCAGGCTCCCTCCTCCTTTCCTCATCCTCCTTTTCTTCTTCTTCTTCCTCCTCCTTCTCATCCTCACCTTCACCCTCTTTCTTACACATTACTACTTATTAGTTACTCTAGGTTTGATGCTCAGGAGGACCAAACCCAGGGCAGGAGCCTGCTATGCATGTGGCCTCACCACTGTTTGCTCTCCCAGTTCCAAGCCCCTCTTTTAAAGGGATCTGCTGGTGTGCCCCCAAATCCCACAGACGGCCAAGTTCTGAAGGCTCACAAGTCCAAAAGGCAGCTGGCTGGGGAAGACCCCCGCTGGCTACACTGACAGAATCTGCTAAAAATTCTGTACATCTCCCCAATTCCGCATAATAGTGAAAGCCCTGGCATGTGCCCAGAGCGAAAACGAGGGTCTTACAGGTCCTCCAGATTATTCCAGCAGGTGGAGAAGAAAAGTAGCTCTGATAATCTTGAAAATGGTCACCCAGGTTGGATGCTTCATAAAAGCATGCTTGGCAGCTGCTTCTGAGTGTCTCCTGGTCAGGAGAAGATGGAAGACATGCCCGGGGAAGAGGTGGCACCCGGGATGAAGGACTGCCCCGGGAGGATACTGAGTGGTCACCTGCCTGCTTACTCGGCATCCCAGGCCAGCATGGTGCCTCAGAGTCAAGAGCTGGCCTTGGTGTCCAGCATGCCTTGTACACCGAGAAATTCTTAAGATTCTTAGGAAAAAGCCTGAGACCCATGCTGGTAAACTTTGCAATTTTTAGTGGCAGGTGGGGGACTGCTTGGGCCACAGTTTAGTGCAGATGTGGAGGAACTCAGGACCTACTCCTGGCTCTGTGCTTAGGGATCATTCCTGCCAAGTGCTCAGGGAATCCTGAAATCAGGATCAGGTGCATGGGAAAGAACCAGTAGCCTGGCTTGTTGCCCAGTCCTCTGGCTAATACCCCCAAGCATGCTGATAATGCCTCCTGCAGCCACTGGTCAGCTTGTTTCCCTGCCCAGCACTTTCAGGTCACAAGGAATGGAGGCTGGAGTGACAGTACGGCAGGTAGGATGCTTGCTTTGCACATATCTGACCCAGCTCAACTCAATTCAATCCCAGGCACCTCATAGGATGCCCTGAGCACCTCCAAGAGTGATTCCTGAGTGCAGAACCAGGAGGAAGCCCTGAGCACTGCCAGGTATGGCCCCAAGAACAAAACAAAACAAAGTGAGGAAGAACTCCAGAGTCTAAGCAGGATCTTTCATGAACCCGCTGGTCCTGACCAGCCCTTTTCTCTCTCTGGTTCCTTCCATCACAGTATAGTGAGCAAGTGCCCATCTCCTCTCCCCTTCCTCCGCCTCAGGGGACCAAAGTTCTGAAAAATGGAAGGAAAGCCCTCCCAGGCTGAGGATGGAGCTGGCCGCAGATCAAAGACGGGCCTGCTCTCCCTGCACGCCCCTCCTTTGGACCCCTCAGTCGCTCCTGCCTTCTCAGCACTTTCTATTCAGCACTGTTACGGTCTTTGTTCTTCTGGACAACGCTTCTCCTGTATTCGAGGCCCTAACCCTTTACCCAATCAGACGCCACGGGGGGATTCTCCAACTCTTTCTGGAAATGAAACTAAGATCCACAATATAACAATACTCCAGTTCACTCATTTGGACGGGTGTTTGGATAGATCGTTGACCCAAGAATTGTTCACACGGCCTAGCTGCCAACTGAGTGGATTTGATTATGATCCTATAAAACACTAGTGGCAACACAAAGACCTTAAAAATCTGCCAAGTTTTCTTAATTTTCCTTCTATGTAATCCAGGGATCAAGTAAAATATGTGTGGAGAACATGGGCTGGAGGTGGGAAAAATAAATAGGGACACAGATTAGAAAGAGAGCTTCTAGGTAAGGGTTTTTTGTGGACTTTTTGTTGTTTTGGTTTGCGGCCACACCTGTAAGTGCTCAGGGGTTACTCCTGGCTCCGTACTCAGGAATCACTCCCAGCCAGCTTGAGGGGGACCATACGGGGTGCCAGGGATCGAACCTGGGTCAGCGGTTGCAAGGTAAATACCCCACCTGCTGCACTATCTCTTCAGTCCTAAGGTAAGGATTTGGGGGTCAGGAGACGGAAACAAACAATAGGAGATAAAGGTATGAATCAAATTTTGAAATCTGGGATTTCAATGACCCTGAATGACTGCCTAATCAAGTCACTAAAGAGCAGGTCCCCTGGCCCGGAAGAACCGTGCTCTTCCTTCTCAGCCTCCAGTCTCTCACGAAAGCCAACGCTTTTGTTGTTGATCTCGGTGCTCTTCTGCCAGCAGGATGCCTCTCCCCTGGCTCGGCCAGATTTCCTCCACCTGGAGCTGGAAGGCAGCCCTGCCCCAGGGCAAAGCTGAGCACATTTGAGCCAGGGCTCTCAACCGCGGTCACTCTCTATCCAGGGAGTGGTCAGCCGTCATCCTGGGCAGTATTCAAAACCGAGGTGTGGTCTGTGCTTCTTTAAGCCCGAGGGTTTGGGGGCTCCTGGTGAGTCCCCAGACGAGACTCCTGAAGAAGAGGATGGAGGGGGCGTGCCCCATCAGGAGGGGACTCCTCCTGGGCCTCACTGTCAGCCTCCTGCTTCAAGGTAAGTGGGGGTGTGGGACACGGACGAGCAGATGAGCACTAGATCTGCAAGATCTAGTGTCTGCTTAGAGACTCAAGATCTCCCCTGCATCTGCCTTGCTGTATGGTCAGAGACAGTCCTGAAGCTCTGGGTTTGTCCTGGATGAATACGTGAAGTGTGTCTGTCCCGATGCGGGGTTTCTGCCTTCCTACTGTTGGCAGAGATGCCACTGACCAGGACACGTCACCCTCTATCCCCCTGCCTGCTCAGGGACCCACCAACCCATTTCTCTCCTCTCCTATCCTTCCTTCCTACTGGCCTTCCATGCATCGTCCTTCACTCCTCTCTCTGTCTCTTTCCCCCGGACTGGGCCTGGGTGAGAAGAGTAGCCATGGCTTCAAAGACGTCCTGAAGCCTCAGCACAGTCCTGAGGAGAGTGGGCTGCACCCTGAGGTAGACAGGACAGGGGACTTGGATCCATGAGAGAACCGGGATTCCCCCCAGCTGCGTCTGCTCACCCCTGAAAAAGCGGGAAAAGAGATGGAGAGATGCCAAGAAGCTGGCTGAGAAGGCTCCCACACAGATAATAATGGCAGTAGCGTTTGCTTAGAGACCAAAGATCTCCCCTGCATCTGCCTTGCTGTATGACTGGTAGCCCATGGGTGGTCAGTGATGTCAGGGCTGAAAGGAGGCCTGGACTTGCATTCTGGGCTCACTAAGCTCAAAGGAGGGCAGAGGAAATGAGAGCACGGAGGTACGCACACGTTCAGAGCATCTGCACGTGCTCCCCACCTCAGAAGAGCACCTCGGAAGGGCACCTATGGGCATCTCTGCTCATCTGGAGAGATCCCTTCTGGACTGTGCAAACAAGGCAGAGAAGGACTCAGAGCAGATTTCGAGGGGACCCAAACTACAAGACTGAAAGTCACATTGAGTCACGGCCCCAGCAGGAGGCATGTGGTGGGGATGCCAGGGACCCTTTGAAGCACTGCATCAACCGCATGCATGCACGAGGGCTCCGTTTGCATATCGATTGGGGCGAGTTTTGCATGAGGATGAACCTGAGGGATGCACTGACTCAGCTCACCCCATCCACTCCCATTTGCCTACCAGACTTGCCCTTCCTCCGGGCCTGGGTAGGAAGGGCTTTGGCCTTGGGGCATCTTGGCCGGAGATGGAGGGGTTTGTGGTACCTTCCAGGTTGCTCTATTTTCTCTCTCTCTCTCTCTCTCTCTCTCTCTCTCTCTCTCTCTCTCTCTCTCTCTCTCTCTCCTCTCTCCCTCTCTCTCAGAAAGGCTCTAGCTCTGGAACTACAGTCCCCAACTCCCACACCATACCCCGCTCACACACCCTCCACTCTCCGCAGAACGAGGCGACACTTTCACCATCAATTGCTCAGGCTTTGACCAGCATGGAGTAGACCCTGCAGCCTTCCAGCCAGTGTTCGACAGGAAGGCCTTTCGTCCTGTCCTCAACCACAGTGTCCCCACCAGGGTCAACATCTCTTTCACCCTGTCTGCCATACTAGAAGTGGTAAGTCCTGGGTCCACTTTGCACCATTGCTGGTGGGGACCAAGAATCCTCTGTCCTGTCAACACTGTGCCACTGACCTGGCCTCCAGAAAGCAGTGGGGACTCTAAAGGGTTTTTGTGCTCATGAGAAGGCTCACCTAGGAGAAGGGAGACAGAGAAGAATGGTAAAGTGAGCTTTTCTTTTTTTTTTTCTCCAAGAAGGATTCACACCAGTGAGATAGCGCAGTGGTTAAGGCACTTATTTTGCAGTCAGCAGCCCTGGTTGAATCCCTAGCACCCTGCAGTCCCCTGAGCACTGTCAGGTGTGATACCTGAGCACAGAACCAAAAGAAAGCCCTGAGAATACCCCACCCCCCAAAAAGGGTTCATTTTTGAGTCTTGTCCTTCCTGGAATGTTCTATGCCCATTAAAACCCGAATTGTCTGGGCTGGAGAGATATAGCAGGTAGGGTGTTTGCCTTGCACGCAATTGACCCAGGTTCGATCCCCAGCATCCCATGTGGTCCCCGGAGCACCACTAGGAGTAATTCCTGAGTGGAGAACCGGGGTAACTCCTGAGCATAGCTGGGTGTGACCTAGGAAGCAAAAAACAAACAAAAGAAAAAAAACTAACCAAAGTTGAATTGCCCCAGGGGGCAGAGCAATAGTACAGTGGGTAGGGTTTTTGCTGGGCACATGGACACACCATGTGCCAGATGCTGGGTTTGATCCCTGGTATTCCATATGGTCCCCTAAACACCACTAGGAATTCCTGAGTGTAGAGCCAGGAGTAATCCCTAAGCATTACCAGGTACAGCCCCCAAAACCATAAGAAAGCACCTGGAATTATCCCTAGACAAAAGGGGCAAGAAACAAAAGATACCCCAGCATCTGAAGCGATGCCCAGTGGATTAACTAATGTCGGCAGAGTGGGAGGCGGGCACAGGCCGAAGCTTCTGGCACTGAGAACTCTGACGACTTGTCTCCCCAGGATGCACATCTCCAGCTCCTGACGTCGTTTCTGTGGATGAACTTGGTAAGGCAGATTCAGAGATCCCCTTCCCGCCCACCAGAAGTAGGCTGGCACGAGGGACTCCAAACTCCCTGGGGAAGTTGCAAATGAGAAATGGTGGAAATGGCCACTTGGTTGATTGCAGTGTCCCCGCACCCCTGATCCCGTGCCCAGTCTGTGGGTGCTTTAGGCCCATCTTAAGGCCCACCTGCCTGAGGAAACAAGGCAACAATGGGCACTCTTGCCTACAATATCTGGCAGGAGGAAGGTGGGGAGCAGGATGTGGCTATCAGGAGCATGAGTGAGGGCTTTTAGGGAAGAACAGGAAGGACCGGCTGACAGCCAGCTCCCTTCACTCACCTCTGCTCTCATCACCGGACTGCAGGTATGGGATAACGCTTTTATCAGCTGGGACCCAAAGGAGTGCATCAGCATCAGTAAACTCAGCATATCGGCCGAAAACCTGTGGATCCCCGACATCTTCATCGTCGAAGCGTGCGTATGCAGGCAGGGCAAGTGAGCATGAGGGCCCCAGCCCAGAACAGTCCAGGCTTGGCAAGGGGACAGGACCACAGAGAGATTCAGAGAGGGGCCAGGTTACAATGTACGATTCTCCACACATACACACACAGAAGCAGAAGAGAGACAGAGACACGGAGACAGAGACACAGAGACAAAGACACAAAGACACAGGGAGAGACAGAGACATGAGAGAAGGAGCCCCAGAGGGGAGCACAGCACGGGATGATTGGGAAGGAAGACAGGTGCTGATTCGGGTCCCTGCACCCCCGCTCCCCTGTCCCCAGCAGCATGAACATACACTCCGCCCCTTCTGGCCTCAGGGCCTACGTCAACAGCAGAGGTCGGATAAAGTACGACACGCCAGCGCGGGTGACCAGCATCTGCAACCTGGACATCTTCTACTTCCCTTTCGACCAGCAGAACTGCTCCTTCACCTTCAGCTCCTTCCTCTACACAGGTGGGTGTGTCGACCTCAGATGCGTCTGTAAGATTTGGGAAACAGGTATAACTGGCAAAGGGGGGAGGTCGGTGCTTCTTGTACCCCAAGGATGATTTGGTGGCTGACAGCACCTGCCTCACGAGTGTCAGGCCTCCAGGATAGTCCCTGTGCCGACACACGTGTTAAGCACGAGACAGGCATCTCTGTTGTTTGAGCCTAGAGGCTTCACAGCTGGAGATTTCCCCTGGCCTTATGGCCACAAATTATTTCCGGCCACACTTCAGGTGTGTGTGAGCACCACAACTAAAGGGTGTGACCCCCTGGCCAGCACAGCAACTGAAAATAATAATAAGATGATAGCCAGAAAATATCTCCTCCCACCAACCCGCGTGCAAGTCCCACAAAAAAAAGAACATAAGCCCAGCACTGTGCCTGAGTGTGTGAGTCCCATGGCAGGGATGCTGTGACCCTCAATCACGGCAGCCACAGCTATGACCACCACAAAAGGACAAAGGTGAGTAGATGAGTGGAAAGAGACCAGTACTTTGCAATTCTGGATACCCACTCGGGTATTTTTGTTTGGGGATTTTTATTTTGGTTTTGTTTCCCCGCCCCCCCCCCCCCCGGCTTGGGGGCTACACCCTGCTGTGTTCAAGGTTTACTCCTGGCTCTGCACTCAATGTTGACTTTGGGAGGGGCTCAGGGACCAGACAGGGTCCTGGACAATGAACCCAGGTCAGCTGCAAGCAAGGCATGAGCCCTACCCGCCATACTCCAGCCCATAAAGTTTCCTGTTTTAGGTTTCAACATTTAGGTCTCCCCTCTCCGTTCCCTTTTTTGTGTGGTGATGAGTGGAGCCCACACATTTGGTTATGGTGTGCACACACTTGGCCTCAGTGCTTCCCAGGGACTGCACTTAAGTTGTAGTACTTGCGGGGTCACACTCAGTTGTGTTGCTTTTCACATATGCTGCTAGGGATCACTTTACTGACTCTAGTACTCACACATCTTAGTTGTGGTGCTCACGAGGGCCAACTTCCCCCCAGCTCCGCTCTCAAAGACCATACTCAGTGCCAGAGATTGAACCAGTGTCACCCAGAAGGCAAGTGCCTTAATCCCTGTACTATCTCTCCAGGACCCCCAGTTTGATTTTGCAATCTCCCCAGAGAGGCTGACGTGCAGGACGAGGAGCTATTATCTTAGGGGCAAAGGATATAGCTCAGTGGTTGAGTACGTGGTTGCTTTGCATGGGTAAGGCCCTGGCTTCAATTCCTGACACCACAAATAAACAAAAAAAACCTTACTACTTTAATTCTTTCAAGCAAACCAGTGCCTGCTATGGCAGTGCATACACTAACATTGTAATGATACAGAGATTAGCATTGCCCCTGACATGTAAAAAAATAATAATTTAGTGAATAAAAGAAATGAAACAAACATGAGACTTAGTACAGTCGTTAATGTGCTTGCCTTGCACGCAGCTAATGCAGATTCAATTACTTGCACCAAATGTGGTTCCCAAGCACCATCAGGAGTGATCCCTGGGTACATCCAGGCATGGACCAAAGCCCACCAAAACTAAACTAAACTAAAACAGCAACCTAAGGCTTAGCCTCTTGGAAGACCCCCTGCACCTGAGGAGACCCATTGCTCTGAGCTGTTGCTGACCTATCATCCCTAGTTCAGGCCTTGAAACATTCATAGCTCGCCCCCAAGGTCAGTAACTCCACGGAATGGATGCCACCCAGTGTCCTGTGGCAGATAACAGACGTGTGTTCTTTTTTTTTTTTCACGATTTTGCAATTTGGCTTTATTAATTTGACTTTTTTGTTTAGTTTTAACCTGAACTTTGATACTGACTATGTAGATATTTGCTTTTTGTTAGCTATCTTTTTTTTTTTTAATACAGTCACTTTTTTTTTATTTACAAATTTTTGTGCTTGGGTTTCGATTATACAATGATCAAATACCCATCCCTCCACCAGTGCCCATTCTCCACCACCATGGATCCCAGTATCCTTCCCACACCCATCCCCTCCATCCCACCCTGCCTCTGTGGCAGGGCATTCCCTTTTGTTTTCTCTCTCCTTTTGGGTGTTGTGGTCTGCAAAAGAGGCATTGAGTGGCAATTATGTTCAGTCCATAGTCTACTTTCAGCATGCATCTCCCCTCCTGGGAGGATCCTCCAAACACCCTTTATTTGGTGCTCCCTTCTCTATCTGAGCTGCCCTTTCCCCTAGAATGCCCAGTTGGCCTCCAAGTCATGGAGTAATTCTCCTGGTACTGATCTCAGCTATTCTTGGGTATTAATCTCCTATTTTGTTACTTTATGTCCCCCAGATGAATGCAATCTTTTTATGTCTATCCCTCTCTTTCTTACTCATTTCGCTTAGCATGATACTTTCCATGTGGTACCACTTGTATGTAAAATTCATGACTTCATCTTTTCTAACAGCTACATAGTACTCCATTGTGTAGATGTACCAAAGTTTCTTTAACCAGTCATCTGTTCTTGGGCACTCAGGTTTTTTCCATATTCTGGCTATTGTAAAGAGTGCTGCAATGAACAAACAAGTGCAGATGTCACTTCAACTATAACATGTGTGTTCTTGTAAGCATGTTGAGCCACTTGAGTCTGTTTTCACTAGAACCCCAGAAGACAATTGGGAATTCAGAAGGAAGTGAGAAATACTCCAAACGTATTGCCCCTAGGAGTCCCTAATCAGGGCTGAAGTGGGCATTTGCCTTGCATGCAGCCAACCTGGGTTCAATCCCCAGCATTCCATGTGATCCTCTGAGCACTGCCAGGAGTGATTCCTGAGTGCAGAGCCAGAAGTAACCCCTGAGCAATTGCTGGATGTGACCCAAAAGACAAAAAATAAAAATAAAAAAGAGTCCCCTAACCAATTCACTCCTGCCTCAATGAGGAAACAATCAGTGTTGCTGTCCACATACAGGAAATGCAGGCCCTGAGACCCCATTTCTCAGAGAACCGGGAGGCCCTACATTTGTTGACTGGGAAGATAGTCCATAGTGCCCAGGGGCTATTACAGGCTCTGTACTTACGAGTGACTCCTGGATGTGCTCAGGGGACCAGACATATTTGTGATTCTAACTGGGATTGACCATACGAAAGACAAGCCCCTGTATTAACTCTCCAGCACCGGCAGCCCCCATTTCTAAAAGACAGAAAGGAAAACGTGTTACTGAAATGCAGGGGGGGAGGAATGGAATTTGGCAGGCAGAACATTGGGGATCCCCCCTGAACTGAACTACCTGCTCCCTTGCAGTGGATAGCTTGCTGCTGGGCATGAACAAGAAGGTGTGGGAGATCTCAGACACATCTCGGAACGTCATCCAGACCCAAGGAGAGTGGGAGCTCCTGGGCATCAGCATGGCCACCCAGAAGATGTCGGTGGGCAGCAGCCTGTATGACAAGATCATGTTCTATGTGAGCCCAGGGGTCCCTGCTTGGCTTCTGACACCAATCGCTCTGTGAATTTCCTCTTGGTGAAGGAAACCCATCATTCTCATAAAGCCTCCGCAGTTCAACACCAGCTCCTCACTCCATGCTCTCCCCTAATATTTCTGATCAAGGAAACCCCTAAGAAGCTGCCTCTTACCTCTGCCCTCTCTCCCCTGCAAAGAGGATGTGTTTCCGGGCAGCTGTAGGTGCCCTGCTCAGAATGGGGCAGTCATGGAAATGATGGACCTCTTTGTCTAAAATCCACATGATCTTCCCAACTTGGACTAGTACCACAATTAGGCTCTTCAGTAGAGAGCAGGAGGTCCATTGACTTAATGCCTGTTGCATAAAGTAATTGATCCCTAGTCCAACTAACAACACACAGGCGAGACCTAGAGTGTTGATTGTCTAAGTAGAACCCTCTGACGTTAGTCTTTGCCACTTTCTCTGCCCTCTTCCCCCACCAGGTGGCCATCAGGCGCAGACCCGGACTCTACATCATCAACCTTCTGGTGCCCAGTAGCTTTTTGGTTGTCATCGATGCCCTCAGCTTCTACCTGCCGGCCGAGAATGAGAACCGGGCACCCTTCAAGATCACTCTCCTGCTGGGCTACAATGTCTTCCTGCTCATGATGAATGACTTACTGCCTAATAGTGGCACCCCCCTCATCAGTATGGCCCCTCCTGCATTCTAGAAAAGCTTTAGGGGACAGGGAAGGGAACCAGGGGAATTGGCTGCCTCTCCATCTAAGAAGGACAGAGGCTTCTGAGATGAGATCAACAGGGGGTGGAGAGGGGTTCGGGCAAGACTTAAAAACATGCAAGGAAGAATAGGTCCTGCATTGTTTGTACTCTCCTTTGCTTTCAGGTGTCTACTTCTCCCTGTGCCTGTCCCTGATGGTGGTCAGCCTGCTGGAGACCATCTTCATTACCCACCTACTGCACGTGGCCACCACCCAGCCCCCATCCATGCCGTCATGGCTCTACTCTCTGCTCCTCTACTGCACCAGCCCCTGGAAAGGCTGCCCCACTGCACCCCAGAAGGGGAGCCAGGGTCTCCCTCCCTCTCATCTGCCTGGTAAGGAAGATCCTGCCTCCTTCCCTCTGTCCCTGGAGAACCTGGCATCTGTGACTCAGTCTTTGTCTCTGCAGGTGTGAAGGAGCCTATGGAATTGGTGGGGAAGGAAGCCAGGCCCAGAGGGGCAGAGCTGAACAGGAGTCCAGGGTCAGCGAAAGCCCAACAAGAAGATGAGGCTCACAAAAGCTATCTGGTCGACCAGTGGGTACTGTTCAGCCACCTGATGGATACTCTTCTCTTCCGCCTCTACCTGCTCTTCTTGGCCACCTCCATCATAACAATCCTCATCCTCTGGAACACCTAGGCAGACTGCCACGTTCATCTCTCGCTTTGGGCCTTCTCCTGGTCTTAGGGCTCCTTCTCGAGCCTTACCCCCAGCGTCTGCCATATCTTTCATGTTCTCCAAACTCCAACACAGCCCCACCAAGCAGGTTCACAGCAACTTTAGACCATGTTCTGGTTCCTCCCAGACGAGAGTTCTCATTCCCATGATACTGTGTTTTGTTTTGTTTTGTTTTGTTTTGTTTTGCCACAGTGACTTCTGATTCCCTGACAGTGGAAGTCTGGTCAGAGGAAGCTCTCCTAGTTGGGTACCAGAAATGACTTTCCAGGAAGATCTAATTCCTCCATAATTTCATGATAGATCCATGTAAAAGAGATGGAGAGGCCTCTTTATTTTTTAATTTTTATTAGTGAAACACCATGAGGTACAGTTGTAGACTTACAAATTTTTGTGCTTGGGTTTCAATTATACAATGTTCGAGTACCCATCCCTCCACCAGTGCCCATTCTCCACCACCAATGATCCCAGTATCCCTCCCACCTCCATCCCCTCCCCCCGACCCCACCCTGCCTCTGTGGCAGGGCATTCCCTTTTGTTCTCTCTCTCCTGTTGGGTGCTGTGGTTTGCATTGAATGGTAATCATGTTCAGTCTATAGTCTACTTTCAGCATGCATCTCCCATCCTGGGAGGATCCTCCCAACACCCTTTATTTGGTGCTTCCTTCTCTGTCTGAGCTGCCTTTTCCCCTAGCATGTGTGGCTGAGAGGCCTCTTTTAAAAGCTTTGACACATTGCTCTAAACTGTGTAATCTGATTTGATTTTAAGCAATTTAGATATTTTCAGTTTCAAAAGAACAAAAGGCAAAATCTCATTTGAAAAATGCTATAAGATATTTACAAGGGCAGAATGTTTCCTTCATCAACCATTTTATCTCAGTTTTCCTTTAACTTTGCCCATACCCCAAAATGTTCTCTGCCATCAATAATATATGATGGAGACTAGAGAAATAGTACAGCAGTCAGGTTAGTTGCCTTCACAAGGCCAACCCAGGTTCAATTGCTAACATCACATATGGTCCCCTGCAGCCTGCCAGGAGCAATTCTCCACACAGAGCCACAAGTAAGCCCTGAGCACCACCAAACTTGGCCCTATAAAATAAAATAACATAAAAATAATATACTGTGTTGTTATTAACATAAGTGTGTTTCAAATGGAGAAAAGACATTTGCACCACTATGTTCCTCACAGCATTATCCACAATAGCCAAAATCTGGAAACAACCCAAGTGTCCAAGAATAGATGACTGGGTAGAGAAATGATGGTACATTTATACAATGGAATATTACGTGGCCATAAAAAAGATAAAGTCATGAAATTTGCTGCTCCGTGGAGGAACCTGGAGAGTATCATGTTGAGTAAAGTTAGAGGGAGAGACTGACACAGAATGGTCTCTCTCATATACTGGATGTGAAGAAACATGATGGTAAAATAATGAATCCCCAAAGACAATGGAAACAAAGAATGTGAGAAGTGGTACTCCATAGGAAGCATGCCACTGGAGGGGGTTGGGAGACCGGAAAGGGAAAGAACATTTATGGTAGAAGGAAGCTTTCAATGGGTAGGAGGAGGTGGTGCTGAAAGGTGGTAAAGTGGTATGCATGAAACCCTATCCACAGTGCAAAAAAAATTATTTTTAAAAAAAGCACCTAGGGGGCTGGAGCAATAGCATAGAGGGTAGGGCAGTTGCCTTGCATGCGGCTGACCCGGGTTTGATTCCCAGCATCCCATATGGTCCCCTGAGCACTGCCAAGGGTGATTCCTGAGTGCAGAACCAGGAATAACCCCTGTGCATTGCCAGGTGTGACCCAAAAAGCAAAAGATAAATAAATAATTAATTTTAAAAAGCACCTAGTAAAAGCAGACTGGTGGGTGGGAGGCAAATGGGGGCGGTGGGTGGGTGGGAGACACTGGTAGGAGAAAGTGGACCCTGGTGAAGGGATTGGTGTTGAAACATTGTATGCCTGAAACTCAATCATGAAATCATGAGTAACTTTGTCATTTCACAGTGACACAATTTTTTTTAGGAGTACTGCTATTTATTTAGCCCCTGATTAGGCTGATTGAATTGAGCATGAACTCCACCTTACTTTTTTTTTCGTTTTATAATTTTATTTATGGAATCACCGTGAGAGCAGTTACAAAGCTTTCAGGTTTAAGTCTCGGTCATACAATGAAACACCTGTACCTTCACCAGTGCCTATTCTCCATCCCCAAAGCCCCGAGTATACCCCCATCCAACAACCTCCCCCTACCAGTGGGGCAGATGACCTCCACATTACTCTCTCTCTACTCTGATTACATTTAATATTTTGACACCTGACCCACCATTGTTATTTGGCACTTTACCCCAACACTCAGATCTGCCAAAAAGGCAACAGTAGACAATTTGTTTTCTATTGCTAGTTATGGATAACATATGATGTCGATTTTGAAATTCCAAAACTTTAATACTTAAATTTGGAGGGATTTCTGCCAAAACCTGCTGGATTCTGAGATTTGTTTCTGAGTCTATGGGATCATGGCCATTTAGCAGCTTGATCAGGAGCCACAGAGGCTGTTCGTGGGCGGTGACTCGGGGTCTCCTTGGAATGGGCAGGAAAGGGCCGGTTCCACCCCCATCCCGTGAAGCCCCACGTGCCTCATCAACAGTGACACAATTTTTAAAATAATACGATAAAATTGTTATTCTTCAAAAGTTTTTTAAATGTTTAAATAAAATAGGTGTTTCTCCTGTGTGGTCTTTATTCCTGACTCAGTTCCCCAAACCTTGGCATTCGTAAATGTTGAGTGCATTTAAGTTGTCTCTTCTTATGCTAATAAAGTAATTTTTGAAACTCACCTTAGGATCAGGACTGGATATCAGGGGAGCCAATGAGAATGGTTATAGCCACGTCTCACCCCTCGAATTTTGGGGATGAAAGAGGGGCTGGAAACTGAATTCAATTGCCAATGTCAGTGATTTGATTATGCCTAATTAGGAACTTTAAAAAGACAAAAAGAAGGGGCTTAGGAGAAACTCTGGGTGGGGGGAAACAGATCATTCTCCTTGTCAGGCCTTGAGCTCCAAGAGGACAAAAACTCTGTAGTTGAGGTTTTCCTCAGTTTCCCCAAGGGATCTGATCTGTATCTGTGCTGGCTAGTGGGTCAGAAGCCTGGGAACATCCTGGGCTTGGCTCTGGTAGCTAAGGAGGAGGAGGGTGGATGACCCCTGAAACTGTTGCCCCCTTGGAAGATGGAAAACGGCACTGTCAGTGGAGAGCTGAATCCAGTGGGGAGCTGAATCGTGTTGACGGAGGTGGGGCCGGAAACCCTGAACCTTCACTTCCTGAGCATTCCCCTGGGGAAGATTCTAGCCGTGGGGACTGGACCCAGAGGAAAGAGGGACATGGAAAGGGTAAGGACAGGTCCCAAGGATAAAGCTCTTAACTATTTTTCAACTGGGTGAAGGCATTTCCTGTATTCAGTTGCACTCCATCTCTCCTCTCCTGCAGGACAGGTCCAGTGTCCACCCGTTTTCATGGCAGTGTATAAAGCCTCACATGTGCTTCACCTAGGATTTGTCTTCATGATTCAGTGAGTAAATGCCAACACCCCCCCCCCACACACACACACACACAAGAATCAATATTTCATTAGGCCTAGTTGGAATAGCTTCATCCTAGCCTGGTGTTAGGGGTACAGCACAGCAAAAGAGTCAGTCCCGACCTTCACTTGGGTCCAGGCTTTTGTCTTGGAAAAATATTTCTAGAGAAGACAGACATAAAAATTTCCAGCGAAAATATTTCTAGGGAAGACAGATCTAAACATTTCCAGGGAAGTAAAATAGGCTTGCTTAGGAAATCAGAGAGGAGAGGGAACCCCACAAAATAAAAAGAAGAAGGCAGACATATCCCAAGTTAGATGTGGGTGACCCCAGAATGGGCACTTTGCTGCTGCTTTTGCAAGCTGTGTTTAAGTTTTTCTCAAACTGCCCTGGATTGGGACTTTCTACGTAAATAAGAGTTGTTTTATTTCCTTTTCTTGCTCTTGATAATTTTTTGCAGGGGGGTGGGGGGTGCAGGATTTAATCTGGGGGCCTCACCCAGCAGTACTCAGGGCTTATTCCTGGTTCTGCACTCAAGCCCTAGTGGGCTTGGGGAGGCATATTTGGTTCCAGGGGTCAAATCTGGATTGGCCACATGTAAGCAAAGAGCTCTACCCCTGGTACTATCTCTCTGACTCTTTTTTTTTTTTCTTATTCTTATTAGAACCTTATGCTCCCACTGAGGTTCCTTCTCTCTTGAGGGATTCCAGACCTCTCTAGGCTGGTGTTGGTATCTTTCAGAGGTTTTATCATACCCTAAGTCCTGCCTTTCTAAAGAGCGTCCAGTTTTCACATCTTTGACTATTTTGGAACTGGCAGCAGTCACTGCTTTAGGTCACATCTTGGTTTTATTACCTCCTGAAACTCATGGTGGGCCAAACCCCCAACTACCTGCCTTTCTCGCTCACATATTTTATTTTATTTTTCCACCTCTAACTAGAAAATCAGCTGCTCAGTTTTACAAGTCAATTTAACTCTGGAGTTTTCTGTGGTGTCATACATGGCCAAAGGCTTTTCTGCTGCCAGGCTCTCTGCCTTTCCATTACTTAAACATATTTCTCACACAGAAACTCATCCTCAACTTTTGCCACTAACTAAGAGTGTTGGTCACATCTCTGAGGAATTTCAGTTTGTTAAGACCATATTTGTGTCATTTCTCTTTCCTTTTTCAATTCCTTATTTGTGGGGTTTCTTTTAGAGGTCAACTTGTCCATCTTGTCCATTTTTTTCCCCTCTTCAGAGGGATGTGACTTTAGATTTTCTGTGACAAGGCCACTATAATTGACAGTATTGTTTGCTTTTTTAAAAAAAAATAGGTTAAGGTTTCAGGTAGTTTGGTGTTGTAAAATGCTCGAGCGGGCCCAGTAACGTCTCCATT